ATTTAAAAAAGAGGACGAAGACTGGTAAGCAGACAACAGAAAACATTTCTCCCGGCAGAAAGATGAATCTCCAACTGTGTTAGTTTTCCCAATGGTCGATGCGATGAATAAATCCTCCGTTAGAAAAACTAACAAATGAAATAAAATATACCGAAAAGTAACAGCAACGAATTATAGCTATAGGTAATAAGAACTTGAGATATGGAAAATTTTTTAAAATGCAATGAAATATGAAATCTAGAACATAATAAGCAGATTTTCTTTCATACTTTAAAGACTGTTAGGAGCATTTTGCAAAAAGCTTTCTCAAAACTATGCAACATTATGAACAAAGGCATTTATCAGCTTCCATCTTCAATAACGGAAATCAGCTTCCATCTTCAGTAACGGAAATCAGCGTCCATCTTCAATAACGGAACTAGGTAGGTAGATCCAAAATTTTCGAACCTTCACGTCGTCTGACAATAAATTTTTCTGGCGGACGTAAGGTGGCAGTACTAAATGAATTACTGTATACCTTGGGTTATCTGCGTTCTCTTTTTTTTTGGCTCTTTGTTGAATGAAGTAATGTGTTAAGTTGCTCTAAATTGTCTAAAGTATGTTCTCTGATTAAATGTTTGACTAAAGACACCTTAATTCAAAAGAAATTAAACAACGTTTTGATCATGTGTACGAGGATTCGTAACCTTGTTGACCTACAGTGAAAGAAAGTGTAAGATAGTTTTCCATGGACTGAGAACTCCTGGGAGATTATTTTTGTGAAGATCGACCTTTGGAGGCATTAACAACAGAAATGTTGTTTCTGTCAGGAAAGAAATACTGAATGATAAGAAATCAAGTAAATAACAGAAAGATTGGATTTATCTAAAATAACTGTTTTGCGCATTTTATATTGTTGCGTGCGTACGGGTTCGTTATGAAATGAATGCACAAGTCCGATGAAAAATGAACAAAAATTTATTATTATCACAACAAAAATGCTTAAATCTTCTCAAATTATCATGCAGTATTACAATATCTCACAGTAGTTATCTTTTAACTACTCAAATGTCCAATAGAACGTAATTCAAAACAGCTAAAGAACGCTAATCCGCGAATTCGCTACAATCAACAAGAGCAGTTTTCTAAACAACAACAAACTAAGCAACTACTACGAACTGAGATGTTTTCCTTCTTTTATAAGATTTTAAAAATCACGCGCTAGAATTTTCCAGTACTTTCTCGAAATCAAAAAGAGATATTCATTTATTTAATGCACGCGCTCTTGTATTTTCAATTTTCCGGCTTAGCTTTGTTTAATATTCGTCAGTAGAGGTAAAATGACAGTTCTGGCTCGGGATCTTAGGGATCTGGAGTTGAGGTAGCTCCCGAGAAGGAAGGCTCAGCCGTGGAAGGGACGCTTATCTGAAAATGGGGACAGGGAGCCTTATCAGGAAGTGGATGCGAGTAGAGTTGTTGCTACGTCACAGAAAAAGGACGTGTGCTTAGATTATTTTCTTTTTTAATTTGGTGATTTAGGTATTTAGTAGTTATATGATAATTTGTAAACTTGCTTATTTATATTGAGTTCTTAAAAACGTATATCAAGTAGGTGTTTTAAGTGACTGATACAGTTATTTTCTAGAAACAGATATAAAATAAAATGTTTCCTTCACAGTCTTTGGAAAATAATTATTTTCTTACTTGTATTTATTCTATGACTGAATATCTGCAAAATTGCTACATGTCATCACAATTTAATAAGAGATTATATTTTACTGATTTATCGGAGGTGATTTCCCTTCGTTAATAAATTTTTAGCCTTTGTGTTTTTCTTCGTATTCCAACTGTTTTACTACGTATATGATGATTATCTCCTAGTTACCCTGAACGAGGATTATTTTCGAATTTAATGATTGAATGATCCTATACACTCAGAATTTTACCTTATTTCTTAAATCTTCTGTTCATAATATCACATATACTTTCCGTAATCTTCATTGCATTACTCATTCTTATTCCTAAATTCATTTTACCCAGAGTTTTTTCAGACTTGTTAACCAATACTTTTAACTTATCCGTTATATTTTATGAGTGTAATTACTAAAACACGCATTTTCGTGTATTATATTATTCAATGTTAGATGTAATTTTTAACTTTTTCGTTCTTTTCAACGTTAGCGATCTTCAACATATTCTGTATTTTAACTTATTTCATACATTTTCTAATCATATAGATGACTTGTATTTAATTTTAGATGTAACATAACATTTCTAGCTTTTTTTGTACATTTTAACCTTCACACTATTTAATATACTTAAAGTTTTAACCAGTTTATATTTTCACACTGTATACATGACTTTTACTTGATTTCTCTCATACATTTTAACCTCCATGATTTCCAATATAGTCCTAATTTTAACATAATTCCTGCATTTTCATATCATATACCTGACGTTTATTTAATTTTATGTGTAAATTTTAAATTATTTTCTATTTTTTTAACGTTTTTAGTTTCCAACATACTCTGAGTTTTAACTAATTTGCTATATTTTCACACTACGTACATGACTTTTACTTCATTTCTCTCATACATTTTAACCTTCATAATTTCCAATATAGTCCTAATTTTAACCTAATTGCTATATTTTCACATGATATACCTGACTTTTATTTAATTTTAGGTGTACATTTTAACTTCTTTTCTATATTTTAATGTTTTTAGTTTCCAATATACTCTGAATTTTAACTAATTTGCTATATTTATACATGACTTTCATTTAATTTATAGCTACTTTCATACGTTTTAAACTTCGTAATTTCAAATATACTTTACATTTTAGTTTAATTCCTATATTTTCTGACCATATATATGAGCTTTATTTCATTTTCGATGCAATTTTTTTCATACATTTTAAACCTTCGTAAATTTTAAATTTTAAACTTTAATTTTAAACTTGCTTATTACATTTTTTCTACCATATACCTAACTTATTTAATTCTAGATGTAAATTTTAACTCCTTTTCTGTTTTTTTTTTTTTTTTTATTGTTTTTAGTTTCCAACATACTAAGAATTTTAACTAATTTCTTATATTTTCACATGACTTTCATATGTTTTTGCACTTCTAATTTCAAACAGGCTCTTAATTTTAGCTTAATTCCTCTATTTTCTTGCCATGTATATGAGCTTTATTCAATTTTAGATATTATTTTTAACATGTTTCGTACATTTTATACCTTCGTAATTTTTAAAGTACTCTAATTTTGAACTTGTTTATTACATTTTCCTACCATACGTATGAACTTTAGTTAATTTCAGATGTAATTTTCATACTTTTCTGGCACTGGGTTTCTTTCTAGTTTCCAACATACTCTAAAGTTTAACTCTGTTTTATAATTTTTGATTGTAATTGCGCTTGTGATTTTACTATTTCAGCTAAATTAACACGCTTAAATTTCTTAAACATAGAGATTGATTTCAATTAAGCATTTTATTTTACAACCTTTAACTGTTATTCATATCCAATTCGTTGAATAGCCCTTACTTAGTCCATATTTTATAGTACTATTTTAATTTGCCAATTCTACAATTTATCATTCTGTAGTACTCTTACCATGACTTATCCTACTACTTTACTTCATTATTAACTTCATTCGCATTTTCAAATTTCCTGCGTATTCAGGCATTTCCTTTTAATTCTTAATACCCTTTATATCTGAATATATGTTTTAAGCTCTTCAGTGTTACCAATGTTCAGTTTTGAATCTTGATTATCATTAAGCTAGTTTGATAGATTCCGAATTTTTAGAATGAAATCTCAACTTTCATCCATAATTTTAGACCCATATTCATTCTTTCATGTACTCGTACAAAATTCTTTCTTATTATTTTGAACGCTCAGTACCTCTTAATTCAGTAATTTGTACTAATTGAATGCATTCTACATCACTTTAAATGTTTCGACTATGCAAATTTTCATTTTATTACCTTTTCCTACACTAAGTATGGATATTTCTGCCTTCATGAATGATTTTCATGTGAAATTGACGATTATTTAGGTTACATATCCAAAAGAAAGTCCTAATACATTTCCAGTTTTGAATAAGAAATGAAGGACAATCGATTTTACCCATTGGCTACAATTTCATCTCTTGAAAGTTTGTTTTATTGGTATACATTTATTTCTAACACATAGTGTTAACACATTTTTTTTTTTTTTTTTTTTTTTTTTTTTGTAACTTAGTCCAGTTCCAACTTAATTTCCCTAGACAATATCATATATAGTCTATTTTTTTAATTTCTTAGACTAAAATGTTCTTTTCGCAAATGTCAGTTTGCATTAATTTATTTACCAATTTATTTTCTTATGAATGAAATCTTGTAAAACACTACCATACCTTTACACAACATATATCATTACCAATATACCTATATTTACAGAAGGAACCAAGAGAGAGAAGAGTAAGAGACATTTTACCCAAATCTCCACTATAATTTCGAATATTTTAACCTTCTTCATCACAAATACAGAACTTTCTTCGTACAATACGTATCATAGCAGTTAAACATGCCTTACTAATACACATTTGATGAGGAATAACGCCTTTTCAATTCAAAATTACACCCAAATAAGTGTTATGTTTTCTTATAATTGTACATATATGTTTGCATTGTAGGAACTTTCTATCCATTTTTGAGAACTGTAATTTGCTAAATATTACCTCTTTCTGAGAGAAAAACTCCAAACACCATATAAATCATTTAACTTTTCCTGTAGTATTACCACACTAGAGAATAACTATCTTAGAACTATTTTCTTAATATTAAGAACTAAATATGAAATAAGCATTTTTCACTGTAGAATATTTAAGGTTTTACCTAAATGAGGATATAACCTTTACCGAATTTAAGTTATTTATCCAGAATTCCCAACAAATGTTTAGAAAATGTGTTGATAGAAAGCAATATATTTACCTATATTTACCTAAGGTCATAACTAAGTCTATAACAGATTTGTATCGGCTCCAGATTTACTATCAGTGAGAAAAACCTGAAGTTCACTTTATCTACCCTTGTCAGTATACACAAAAAGTCATGAATCATTCTGTAGTACAATTAGCATTTTACATACATTTAATACTAAATAATTTTAATTAACTTTCAATTAGGATTTTTAAAAGAAAAGCATATTTATGCGACATATTATTAAATTACTCCCAAGCGTTGTTGAGGAAAATGCAATTAAATATCCACATACACATTAAGAAAATCCTACTCATTAGGAACAGTAAAATCTTACCAATACTTTAAACGAAATGTAAAATATTGTAATGCATTAATATAAAACCTGAGTAACAAATCATTTCCTATAAGCTGTATACGATTAAAAAGACTTTTCTTATAACTTATCAACTTTTAAGAAGTAAGAGTAAGGTAATGAACCAACGTTTTTAGAAATTTTCCTTTATTTTCTAAATCTACCCTTTTGTAGTAACGAGAAAATTCAGTCATACTCCTATTTTATTTTTATGTAGGCATGCGCATTTCTTCTAACAGACACAAATCTGAAAATATATCACTTTTCCAAAGATTTAGCTTTAGACTTACTTTCATCGGAAAAGGAAAATAATTTTACTTAAAAAACAGCATATCTTCTACTCAAAGAACTTGAAACAATCACGATCACATCTATATGTAGCACTCAGTGATTTAGTTTCAAACCAAATTTTGATATTGTTTTTAATCATGCAAGCAACAATTTTCATCTTCGAGTTAAATTTTATACGACTGCAACAGATTTTTCAATGGCTTTCATGCTCACATTGTGTAAAAGACTTCTAGTTTTGACTATTTTAATTTATAATATTGAGAAATACATTGATTATTTTCAGAAAACGTCATTTCACAATCGTACTTTACCACTCTGAAACTTTTGAATAACACTTTCTACCATAACGACAACCAGATACTACATTATTTTTTTACAAAAACATGAAAAATTTTTTTTTCTAAATCCTCTTCTAGAAATACTAATAAATTCTGCTATAGAAAGAAGATTCAATTCCTATTATAACTCTATATACTATTTGCAAAGAGAAAAGACACTCTAGATGATAACATATCACCCATATATTTTTAAAAATTTAGAACAATTTCAATAAGGCAAATTATCTACAGAGTTTTCAAATACGGATATATTTCTGAAAGAAACTGCCTAACATACCGCTCATTTACTTCTAAACCATTTAAGTAAAACCAATCAATTCATAAAATATTTGAATTTTCCATAAGGTTTAGTACATCTATACAGTTATTTAATTCATGAACTACTAAATTTTGAAAAATAAAGAGTGAAAACATCACTATTTCAGAATTTAGGAAGAGATCTTCAATAATGAGAGTGAACATATACCGAACTTCATGCAAAATTTTTATCGTTTTCATACCAAACATTTCACTATTTCGTAGATTCTAATAACATAGCCCAATCGTTTTCAAAGAATATATATCATTTCACATTAATTAGAGAGTGCCATACGAGTTTAATTGCAGGTGCTTACTGAATGACACTAAAAATTTCAAGGAAAAAATCAAATATTTTTCATCTTTCATGAAAATCTGTGAATAACAATAATATTTCATAAGAGCTAGAAGACTTAGTGCATTGAAACAGTATCAAAAATAGAAAACTATTTTAGATATTCTTATGTAAAGTTATATCCGAAGTTATATCAATTCAGTCGAACTTGAAGACCAACCAAATGTACTACATGATTTTACACATTTCTGGTATTTTTTCCCGAAAATAGAAGTTTATATTTTTCATACGCAAACTATTACAACGAATTAATGACATTTTATACTGCACAAAACTATTTTAAGTTCCATATTCGAAGCACAGCATCCATAAATTTCACATAATACTACAGTTACACAATACAAACTATAAGAAAAGCTGAATAATCTATATTACATACAGAACAGAGACTACAATACTCAAGGACCTACTTAAAGAATACTTGAAACTTTTCAAAATTTTATATAATTCTATGCATATTTCATATATTAAGCACATTTCACGTTTTTAGAAATGTAGCATCACGCTTCCCAAGACAATGGCCAATGTATCCAACCTTATGAAAGTGAATCATCTAAAATAAGAAGGGGTAGTTTTATTATCTTCAACCGGTAAACAAGTGATTAGGAAATGACCACTTCTTTATATCTTCAACTACTTTTTTATTATCTTCAACCGGTAAAAAGTGATTAGGAAAGTGACGCCTTTTAAACTACCACTACTAGGATATGTAACATATCCTAAACATATCCTAGTAGTGGTAGTTTAAAAGGCGTCACTTTCCTAATCACTTGTTTACCGGTTGAAGATAATAAAAAAGTAGTTGAAGATAATAAAAGAAGTGGTCATTTTCCTAATCACTTGTTAACCGGTTGAAGATAATAAAACTACCCCTTCTTATTTTAGATGATTCACTTTCATAAGGTTGGATACATTGGCCATTGTCTTGGGAAGCGTGATGCTACATTTCTAAAAACGTGAAATGTGCTTAATATATGAAATATGCATAGAATTATATAAAATTTTGAAAAGTTTCAAGTATTCTTTAAGTAGGTCCTTGAGTATTGTAGTCTCTGTTCTGTATGTAATATAGATTATTCAGCTTTTCTTATAATTTGTATTGTGTAACTGTAGTATTATGTGAAATTTATGGATGCTGTGCTTCGAATATGGAACTTAAAATAGTTTTGTGCAGTATAAAATGTCATTAATTCGTTGTAATAGTTTGCGTATGAAAAATATAAACTTCTATTTTCGGGAAAAATACAGAAATGTGTAAAATCATGTAGTACATTCGGGTTGGTCTTCAAGTTCGACTGAATTGATATAACTTCGGATATAACTTTACATAAGTCAATGGGAATTCTAAAATAGTTTTCTATTTTTGATACTGTTTCATGCACTAAGTCTTCTAGCTCTTATGAAATATTATTGTTATTCACAGATTTTCATGAAAGATGAAAAATATTTGATTTTTTCCTTGAAAGTTTTAGTGTCATTCAGTAAGCACCTGCAATTAAACTCGTATGGCACTCTCTAATTAATGTGAAATGATATATATTCTTTGAAAAACGATTGGGGCTATGTTATTAGAATCTACGAAATAGTGAAATGTTTGGTATGAAACGATAAAAATTTTGCATGAAGTTCGGTATATGTTCACTCTCATTATTGAAGATCTCTTCCTAAATTCTGAAATAGTGATGTTTTCACTCTTATTATTTTCAAAATTTAGTAGTTCATGAATTAAATAACTGTATAGATGTACTAAACCTTATGGAAAATTCAAATATTTTATGAATTGATTGGTTTTACTTAAATGGTTTAGAAGTAAATGAGCGGTATGTTAGGCAGTTTCTTTCAGAAATATATCCGTATTTGGAAACTCTGTAGATAATTTGCCTTATTGAAATTGTTCTAAATTTTTAAAAATTAATGGGTGATATGTTATCATCTAGAGTGTCTTTTCTCTTTGGAAATAGTATATAGAGTTATAATAGGAATTGAATCTTCTTTCTATAGCAGAATTTATTAGTATTTCTAGAAGAGGATTTAGAAAAAAAAAATATTCATGTTTTTGTAAAAAAATAATGTAGTATCTGGTTGTCGTTATGGTAGAAAGTGTTATTCAAAAGTTTCAGAGTGGTAAAGTATGATTGTGAAATGACGTTTTCTGAAAATAATCAATGTATTTCTCAATATTAGAAATTAAAATAGTCAAAACTAGAAGTCTTTTACACAATGTGAGCATGAAAGCCATTGAAAAATCTGTTGCAGTCGTATAAAATTTAACTCGAAGATGAAAATTGTTGCTTGCATGATTAAACAATATCAAAATTTGGTTTGAAACTAAATCACTGAGTGCTACATATAGATGTGATCGTGATTGTTTCAAGTTCTTTGAGTAGAAGATATGCTGTTTTTTAAGTAAAATTATTTTCCTTCTGCGATGAAAGTAAGTCTAAAGCTAAATCTTTGAAAAAGTGATATATTTTCAGATTTGTGTCTGTTAGAAGAAATGCGCATGCCTATATAAAAATAAAATAGGAGTATGACTGAATTTTCTCGTTACTACAAAAGGGTAGATTTAGAAAATAAAGGAAAATTTCTAAAAACGTTGTTCATTACCTTACTCTTACTTCTTAAAAGTTGGTAAGTTATAAGAAAAGTCTTTTTAATCGTATACAGCTTATAGGAAATGATTTGTTACTCAGGTTTTATATTAATGCATTAACAATTATTTTACAAGATTTTCGTTTTCATTCAAGTATTGGTAAGAGTTTTACTGTTCCTAATGAGTAGGATTTTCTTAATGTGTATGTGGATATTTAATTGCATTTTCCTCAACAACGCTTGGGAGTAATTTAATAATATGTCGCATAAATATGCTTTTCTTTTAAAAATCCTAATTGAAAGTTAATTAAAATTATTTAGTATTAAATGTATGTAAAATGCTAATTGTACTACAGAATGATTCATGACATTTTTGTGTATACTGACAAGGGTAGATAAAGTGAACTTCAGGTTTTTCTCACTGATAGTAAATCTGGAGCCGATACAAATCTGTTATAGCCTTAGTTATGACCTTAGGTAAATATAGGTAAATATATTGCTTTCTATCAACACATTTTCTAAACATTTGTTGGGAATTCTGGATAAATAACTTAAATTCGGTAAAGTTTATATCCTCATTTAGGTAAAACCTTAAATATTCTACAGTGAAAAATGCTATTTCATATTTAGTTCTTAATATTAAGAAAATAGTTCTAAGATAGTTATTCTCTAGTGTGGTAATACTACAGGAAAAGTTAAATGATTTATATGGTGTTTGGAGTTTTTCTCTCAGAAAGAGGTAATATTTAGCAAATTACAGTTCTCAAAAATGGATAGAAAGTTCTTACAATGCAAACATATATGTACAATTATAAGAAAACATAACACTTATTTGGGTGTAATTTTGAATTGAAAAGGCGTTATTCCTCATCAAATGTGTATTAGTAAGGCATGTTTAACTATGATACGTATTGTACGAAGAAAGTTCTGTATTTGTGATGAAGAAGGTTAAACTATTCGAAATTATAGTGGAGATTTGCGTAAAATGTCTCTTACTCTTTCTCTCTTTGGTTCCTTCTGTAAATATAGGTATATTGATAATGTATATTTTGTAAGGTATGGTAGTTTTTACAAGATTTCATTCATAAGAAATAAATTGGTAAATAAATTAATGCAAACTGACATTTGCGAAAAGAACATTTTAGTCTAAGAAATTAAAAAAATATACTATATATGATATTGTCTAGGGAAATTTATTTGGAACTGGACTAAGTTAAAAAAAAAAAAATGTGTAACACTATGTGTT